AGGTCGCCCGTCCCGTCGAGGGCGCTCAGCTGTGCGCGCGGTCAAGGACCCGGCGGGACCGACCGGAGGGACCCCGCGCCGCCCACCCCCGCCCCCTGCCCGGCGCGGAAGGATATTCTGCAGTCGCTTCACCAGCAGGGTCTTCCCGACACCCGCGGCTCCGAGCAGGAGACACATCCCGACGCTGCCCTCCCCTCCCTGCACCCGTAGTTCGGCGCCGTGGTAACGCAGAGCCCGCCCCCTGCCTCGCTCTCATTGGACAGGCCCGGCCTCCGGACTTCTCATTGGTTCTCGGAGCTCACCATCCCAACAGGCCAGGTCCAATCAGCGTATAACGTCTGGGAACCCCCCCCCCCCGGAAAGGTCCGGCCTCCTCCCTGCCTTTGGTCTGGCCGGGCTCCTTGACGGCTTGGGAAGGGCTGTCCATCTTTGAAGGAGCCAGGTGGCTCGTGGTTTAAGTGCTCGGCTGCTAACCGAAAGATCAGCTGTTGGAACCCACCAGCTGCTCAGTAGGAGAGAAATGTGGCCTTCTGCTCCCGTAAAGATTCCAACCCGTTGCCGTGGAGTGGACTCCACTAATAGCGACCGTACAAGACAAAATAGAACTACTCCATAGGGTTTCCTAGGAGCGGCTGGTGGATTCCAACGGCCCGCCTTTTGGTTAGCAGCCGACCGCTTAACCACTGCGGCACCAGGGCTCCCCGTAGAGATTACAGCCTTGGAAACCCTATGGGGCAGTTCTACTCTGTCTCATAGGGTCGCTGGGAATCAGAATCAATTCGACAGCAATGAGCTTGGTTCTTGGTGAGGGTCCATCTCTGGGGGAGACGTAGAGCTGGCCCTATCCGATCTCCCGAGTTCTGGGTCACACATTTTAGGACGACAATGGGGGGTTATGTGCACCCGCCCCCTCAGTGAAAATGCGCTGTTTATGGGAGCAGGCGATCTGTGCACTCAGCCCAGTGCCTCCCTCCTTCCTCCCTGGATATGGTTTCAGGGGAGGCCTCACGTGGGGAGCCTTCCTTGCTCTTAGAATCTGCAGGCTGAGCATCTGAGCCTCATGGGGTGGTCCAGCGCCTAGAAGATAAATTCAGGAATTTGCTGTACTAACTGAATAAGGGAACCAACAAGGCAACAAGGCTTGTTAGATCCCATGTCTGTCTCCAGGGATGATGGCGCAGGCAGAACCAGTGTGGTGGCACCTCACAGTGTGTCTGTCTGTCTGACCGCCCGGGCTGTCCAAGGCCATGTCTCGCAGAGAAAAGAGCTCACTTCTGAGCCTGAGAGAAGGGGCCGGACAGCGCCCCGCCATGTCCACTCAGGGTGGGTCCCCACTCCCCTCTCCAGTCAGGACACGCCCCCCACGCCCCCTCAGGGGTCAGGACACCACCCCCCACATCTCCACAAGGGTCAGAACCCTTCCCCCCCCCC